CAGATCCCAGAGAAGGTCTTCGAGTACGACGTCATGAGCGACGCGCCTCCGTCGGATCTCAAGAAGATCAAATCCGCCGCGAACGTCGCCAACGCCACGTTCCGCAACTTCGTGGAGATCGTGTTCGAGAACCGGGAGCGGAGCATCCAGACGTACCACGTGGACGGGTACTCGTTCTTCGCGGTGGGGATGGAGGCGGGGAGGTGGGGCCTGGAGAAGAGGAGGAACTACAACCTGGTGGACGCGGTGAGCCGGCACACGATCCAGGTGTACCCGAACTCGTGGGCGGCGGTGATGACGACGCTGGACAACGCCGGAATGTGGAATCTGAGATCGGAGATGTGGGAGAAGACGTACCTGGGGCAGCAGATGTACTTCAGCGTCCTTTCTCCGGCGAGATCTTTGAGGGACGAGTACAACTTGCCGGACAACCAGCTTCTCTGCGGCCTCGTCAAGGGCGCCTCCATGCCACCGCCGCACACCATCTAATCAGATCGGAGCTTATATAATTAATTACATTTGAATTTTTAAGAAGATGATGATTAATTTTTTTAAATTCAATTTTTAAAATTCTATGCTTCGATTGTGAATATTATAGTTACTCCCTATTATTATTCAAAAGTAGGAGGGAAAGGGATGATGGATGTAATTGTAATTAGTGTTTTGTAGTGGGGTGTGAACGAAAAATTACAAAGCTGGGGGATCACTCTGGCAAATTTGGCGTGAATTACTTTTTTTATATACAGAAATTAAGAATATATAAATGGGGGAAATGAACTGGTCTCAATGCCCAATCATTTATGCAAATATATTGTGGTAATTTAGAGTTTAATATGTAACACAACATATATCAATCTTCTCCGTTTGTTTCAAATTAAACTATTACTTGTCCAGTTTAACTTTTTTATTCAAATTAAATAAACTTTAAGCTTCAATTAGATAAAAATCATAAATTATATATGTATACAAGCAAATTTATTAGATTTAACTTGTTGAAAATTTTCATAATTCTATTTCATTATACTACGGAGTAATATGTAATAATACAAATCGAGAGTAATTAAAACTCAAAGTTTATCCACTTTGATTCGAAAAAATCAAACTAGACAAAATACACTGAGACGGAAGAAATAATTGCAGACGATTAAAATTAAATAGCAAACATTCAATTAAATTGGGAGGGAGTGAGGGTATAAGGCATGGAGTCTGAAGAATAAAGTCTAGACTTTAGGAGTCTATAATTAGAGTTGTTCAACATATTTGTTTCTGCTTATTACGTATTGTTATTATAATCAAATCACCAGTTCAAACCAGATCAGAAACAGCTTTAATTATAACTGCAATCAGATCAGGCGAACGAAACGGAACGCAACCTTAAAAGCTGAAAATAAAAAGCCCTTGCTAGAAAAAATATCACCCATTGGACAATTATTACCTAAAGAGGAATGTGAACCTTATCAAGTGGAAACCTTAAATTAGGACTACATGGTTCACCTTATTCCATAGGACTTGTAATAATGGTATATGATAGAGAAAAGCAAAATTGCTTCTTTTTTTTTCAAGGAGGAAATCAAGGGAAAGTGTGGAGAAAAGTAGTTATAAATACAATCATGAATACATACACACATAAATAAAAAAATAAAAAAAACTGAAAGTTCTATAAATGCAAGCAACCTTATTTTTCTCCTTTTAAGCAAACTGGATCAGCAACAAGATCAATGTTCCTCAAATCTTGCAGACTACACATTCCCTAACAGAGAAAGTTGACAATTGACATGAGAAACATCTTTAGATACATAATGACAAACAGATTTTAGTACTTTTCCAGAAGAAATACCAGTCATTGGCGTCACAAATGTATAACTTTTACTAGTAATTTTTGTTGTTGAAGGAAATATATATAGTATGTAGTTCAATTGTAGAGAAGCCAAAGGATGCGTACAAAACAATTAAAATGTATCAGACATTAAGGATTAATAATGAACAAAGACACTAAACATGTCATCCGTACAGATTTACTTGTCCACTTCCTAAAAAATCTCATTATTTAAGAAATGCGTCTAAAATGTCAAAGGAATTCTTCAGATGAGTTGTACCGATGCTTGTACCGTATATATACGATACTTTAGACCATTCCTTATTGAATATAAAAAATGGACGACTAATTTTGGACAAACGAAAACAAGAAAGTAGAAAACTAAATCCGGATGGAGAAGAGTATAACTTTTTAAGTTTAGTATGGAGCAAGTATTGAGAATCATTAAGTATAGCTATAGTTTCAGATTTATTTGTTGATTTATCTGAACTTCCTTGAGACATTTTTTTAATAAAAATTTAAATAAATGTGATGAAAATTGGCTTCTCTTTTCCAAATTGGACTCTTTTTTAGGATAAAAGTATAGACACATGCCTATGGGATCGGGAGTAGAAGATAGCAAAAACCACATTAGAGTATTACACTGACCTCTGCCTGAGCTGAAACTGGAGGTGCAATCTTGGCTTTTAAATTTGGCAATCACTTAGGCATCTTTCGGGGTTTCAAACCTCGTTGGGGTATCAATACCCATCATGCAGCAGAGACCAGAAATTAAAATTATAAGCAACACAATCGCCTGTAACATGAAGAAAAGCAGTCACATTGCATGATCAAGATAAACAAATTCCCCATATTTCCTACTCCCTCGTTCCAAAAAAATTAAAATATACTTCCTCCCTCCCAAAATAAAAGTTATGGAGGGATTCACGGGGTAAAATAAAGATTTTTATTCATGTTATTTGAAAATTGGTAAAGAAATAAAAAATAAAACTAAAATTTTCAAAAAATGCATCAAAAATTTTAAAAATAATAAGTGACACTACTGTGTTATTTTCTCAAATTATCAATGAAACACACGAGTAACCTAAACTGATCGTGACCTTGGAATCTTTATTTTGGGAGGGAAGGAGTAAAAAAATATCATGTTTGGTCAAGGTATGACTTTTTACTTTTGATAATGCAAAAGTGTACAACTCTTAAGAGTTTAGAATTCTTATTATATTTTAAACTCTTCTCAGTTTATCTAAATAAATACGCCATATATCATAATGAGTTATTAGTAACTTTCTTTTTACAGATTTCATGCAAACATTAGATTCATTTATAAAATAGGACCTTTTTGGCAAGGAAAAAAACAAGTAAACAGCTCTTTTTGGGATATTGAGTACCACCAAAAAAGCAAAACCTGCCAATTTGTAATATAAATTGAAATAGCAAAAAAAGTTAAAACAAAGAAAAAACCAATAACAAACATCAGGATACATATTAGCTGTAATGTGTTCTGTAAAAAAAGTTATGTGTACAATGAAAAAAATGGAGAACTATTCTAAAAATCTCTGGCTAGCTCTACCTAAACTCTACCCATATAACTATATAAGATCTAGGCCACAGTACGACATATACAGGACTGTCTACCACTTTTTACAGCACTAGTAACAAATTCCGTTACAAAACCTTTGAAACAAACATTGTGGGTGATTCTGGCTTATTGCTTTCAATCATTTTTTAACATATAAGCTTCTTATTGAAACATTTTTGTAAATTGACTTAGACGAGAGATGAGTAATTTGGGAATATTCATAAAAGAGTATGTAAAGTTTTGTAAATGATCCAGTCAAAACGGAGAAACAGAAAATTTGGGTTAAAATAAGTAGGTAAGACCCACTTTTTTTTACTTATAAGCACATAGAATCAAGTCATCAAATGACATAAGTTGTTTTGACCAACTTATACGCACATAGAAACATCTGCATTGATTCGTTGCAAACAAGTTGTGATTGTATGAAAGTGGGTGGAGCCGTGGGGGATTATTGAGTGTTTGGTTTGAGAGGAGAGTGGAGGAACTATAGACTCCTGACTGCTTACATCTTATCCACTTAATTTTTGGTATCCAAGAAGATTTACATTTTTCCTTAGTTTCTTTTTCACATTGTTATATAAAAGTGTACCTTATAATTGTTATCCAAATTGATCAGTATTGTACTTTGTACCTTTGTATACAGCAAAAAAATCACTTAATTTAAAACTTTAACAATTTTTATCTAAAATAAGAAGTCTTCTGTGGTCATCTATTGAATCAAAAATAGCAGCTATTTTATACTCTTCCATTTTCATCACCCTCCCTCTCAATTTCCCATTTTTTTCTCCCTGCCCTTTTTTAACCAAAGGCTTAAAGGTAAAAACTACATACCACAAAGATTGACTCCAAAAATGTTGCTTTAGTGCGGCATACTTCATCACACATTACATTTTCTGATCCGTTGTCAAAGCGACCTTCAGCAAGAAATCTTTCTAGCTTTCTATGAGAGGGGTACTGAATGGAACTCGACGGATCTGACACATAGAGGACACTGTATTTTGCTCCCAAATGTTCCATGAAACTAATCAACTCAGCCAAAAGTTGACCTGAATGTTTTGTCCAATTGTTTGACGTTAGTAGGGATAAATGGCAAGTTTAAAAAGTGTCCCCTCTTAGCAAGGGTCTGGACAGTCTCACCACAAGGGTGTGGCCAAGGCAAGCTTTAACTTGCATTTTTGCAAGAAGCTGCTTTCAGGACTTGAAACCATGACCTCAAGGTCACACGGCAAAATCTCAAATGGTCCAATGTTATTTGTGCTGCTAAGGAAATATGTTGAAAATTAGTCATACCTTCAGAGGCTTGTTTATCCAATCCTTCCATAGTACTGGAACCAGTGTGGCAGAAAACAATTACATCTTTGTGTCCCTTAGATCTACTCTCCATCCTTGAAACCAAATACTTCTGCTCACACATGACATTGAAATGAAGAATTAGCTAAATTTTGCACTTTTGGCCCAACGACAATTTAGGTCATTCCCACTTTTGGTCCCCGTTTTCATTTTCCTACATTTGGTTCAATAATTTCTTTCCACTTTTGGCCTTTTCTGGTCACCTATCCCAAAAAACACGGCCAAAACCCAACCAGAAGTTGTACAGAGATTGGATAGATAAATGTTTGGTACTTGTAAGAACCAGAAGAGGACATGAAACCATAGACCAGCACAAAAAGAGAAAAATGAAAGTCGGGAACTAAAATTGAGAAGTAGCTGAGAGTCATAGGAATAAAATAATTTTTTTAAAAAAAATTACTATATCCACAATAGATACATCCAATGTTTTTCAGTGCAGAATTGTGTGTGTAAATAAATATTTAGAGTAATATATCATAATGCAGCATATTGTATGCTAAACCACTATACTATTAACCTGAAACGAGAGGATGTCCGGGAACTTGTTAAAACTGTCACCCTCTATAGAACACGACTCCAAGAAAGCTAGTTTATGGGTTTCTAGTTCAAGCCCACAGGTGTCCTTGAACTCTGAAACAAATGATCTTTCCACAGAATGGCCATCCTCCACCGATGCCGCAATATAGGGAAATGCCAAAGAGAAGTTGGAGGTCAAAAAAGAGGCCTGTTCATAAAAATAGCAGAACTTAACCTTAGATTTTCTGGCATACCAAAATTCACCCCTGGAGCTTTATGAGACATTTTTATTACCTTGAGCAAATCAACAAGGAAAGGATCTGCTTTTCCAGGTCTAGAAAGATCGTGAGATTGTAACTGCACCTCCAATTAAAAAAACAGTGATCTCCCCATGAAAAATGTAGAGTAGAAAATTAACTACGCGGCTACATCATGATGCCAATACTTTTCAAGTAGAAAAGTATTCAATAAGCTGCTTGAAATTTAGCATTTGTATGTTTTGTTATATAATTGTTTCATAACATGGTCCAAGAACTTCTACAAGTGGAAAAATATGAAGTTTTACAATTACTGAACTACTTTCTGAGTAGCAGTTATCTTCTTGATCAAATATAATGTGACTAGTCACTACTGTAGAAAATGCCATTTGATAGAATGAATTGAAAAGTACCTCTTTCCCCACAAATATTAGTCCAATATCCAGAGGTTGCTGAGCTCCCTTATCTGAGCACTAATGAAGGGCAAAGCACTTCAGTTTTTTTTACTTTTTCAATTATCCCATTTGAGATTTATGTGTAAGATAGAAATATGAGCATAAACATGAAATCAACTATAAAATGAGGAATGAGAATTAGTACCATCAAGTTTGACCAACCACCTTCAGACGTAACAGACCTGACTAGCTCTTTTGGAGTGAGGGTTCTATAATCTACAGTCTGACTTCTTGAAAATCTATAGGATTAACAGTAATACAGCCTACAGATTAGGATATTGATTTCATATAAACCACCAAATGCATCTAGAAAACTGAAATAACTCAATTAAGAGAGTCTTCCACTTCTACACTTTGGCTACTCATGAAGAAGGTTCCTTTTCTTAACAGATCAAATGAGAAAGAAATAATAAGGAGGGGCAGCAGAACATGTGATACAGTTTAATTCTTACAAACAAAACATCATTTTTATGACAATGTAAAACAGATTAGGGGTCTGAGTGGTTAGTTTCTTACTTGATGTATCCTGTAAGGCTACATGCCTTGTTTTTAAAAATGGAAGCAATTCTTATTTTTATGATAAGATGTGCTAAAAGGGAAAAAAAGTGGATTCTATATCTCCAGTAAAAGTGTCACCTTCACTGAAAACGAGTGATACTTTATCATAACAAAGCTAGTCATCATTTAATTTGCCAAAAGAAAAGGTCATGAACATGTTATTGTACAATATGATACATTTTAGCAAAACAATCCATTACTCTCTGGCTGCAAAAACACCTTAGAGTATTACCTAGATAACTTATATATTGAAGCATATTGAATGTACTGTAAAATGGAATGAAGCAAATTATGTGTACCCATCTTGGTGGGGCGACCAAAGGAAAGAAGGACCGGTTAACGGGAGCGTAAATCCTGGAAGAAACTGAACTGCAACGACCAGCATAGTGGCCAATAAAGCTGCAGCTTCCTTCATATTGTGTTCCCTGTCATTTAAAAATATGAGGATAAAGATTAATGATTGCATGTGTGTGTAGTAATAATGCAGCTTGTTTTGCCAATTTCCCGGCCAAAACTGAATGCAGAAATCGTGGGCACTTACTGGGAGCAATGTCAGGTGGCAGCTTGCCTTGCCAGTCTCAATTTCTTTAGCAGCTGCCAATTTTTTTATAAATTTCCTAGATGTTATAGTCTTTTTTCTACTTAAAAATGTGTTCTGTTGTATATTGGGTTGGGGGAATAAGATTTGTGCACGAAGTTGGAGAAAAGAAGATAGTGGTAGAGTTTTTATAATACATAAATTTGAGTTGATATCAAGAGATATGACTCATGACTAACTCACCTTAGGGCTTGGTATCTGTTATACACAAAAATTATCACAACTTAAGTGTATAATTGGACTCCTAATAAGCACTTTAAAGTACCAGCCCTTCCCCAAATAACCTTGTTCTAGATATTATACATTTTCATATGACCACACACCCTCCTCAACATCCTCATCTTTGCAACTTGAAGCTGATGAACGGGAGTTTACTCCACCACCTAACACTCAGCTCTGTATAACATAGCCAGTCTGAGCACTGTCCACCTAACACTTATGAATGAGGAAGTAATCAATATTTCACCTCTCCAAATCAGTTGTTCTAGCAAATTCTAAGAGAGAAACCCCCTCTGAATTCTTACTGTCAACCAAACCCTCCTATTCAACCCATTGTGGCCATTAAAATCACCTCCAATGATGAATGATTATGCCTGTGAGATACCCCTACCACCCTATCCAATGTTTACAAAAACTCCGTCTTAACTATGTTTCCGAAGCTTAGTGGGATGCATAGGCACTCATGACGTTGATAATACACCCCCCCCCAACACTAACTTAAAACCAATATCCGATCACCAACCATCCTCCCCCCAAACACAAACTCTCAAATATCTTAAGCCAACAAAATGTCAAACTCACTCTTGTTCATCAAGGCACCAGAATACCACAACTCATTCACATCCCATACCCTGGTGCCCACCCATTAGTCTCTTGCACACATGCACATGAATACTCCTATTCTTGATGCCCTTCACCAACTCTCTAGAACTAGTAAGGATACCTATGTTCCGCGAGCCAAACCTCAAACTACACACTCTCTTATCAGTTATCCCTTCAGGTTAGCCAATGATACGACCTTATGCCCCCCCTTGCTAAACAAATCCACCCTGCTCACTCACCCACGCCACAAAAAGGAAGAACGCGCGAGAATCACCCAGAATCAAGTTCACTAAAATTACTAATGAATATAAAAAAAGGAAAATAAACACCGCAACCAACGTAAGGAGTAGCAATATTCAATATTTATGAACAATGAAATCAAAAACTGTGAATCCAAATCGATGTCCAATTACCTCCTCTCCATTCTAAAATCACTAGCAACTAGCAAGCAAAACCTCAATCGGAAAACACGAATTGAAAGAAAAATCAGTTGTAGAACCTTAATCTTCGAAGAGAAAAGGATTGTGGTGATTAACTTACCTGAACTATGTTGCGGACGAAGAAGATAAACACGCCCTAGCCGGACTCCGTCGAAGGAACGCTCAAAATCTGCCAATCTCTTTCTCCTCTGACCAAACAACGAAAGGGGCGACGGAGGTCGTAGACTCGTAGTCGTCGTGGTCGAAGGCGATCTAGAAGAAACGATCGGATGATTCGGATCTAATGGCCCGCTACGTTGAGACTCATCCTACTCCGTAGATGATACTGCGAGTCTGATTATGTATTTTTGTTTAAGGTGGTTCCCATGACCCCAACATTAGTTCTCGTGCCCTATTCACAAAATTTATTTTTCCTACCCCGTCTCGTAATGACCTGAACACACCTCTCACTTTTTTTAATTGTGCTTCACAAGTTGATTTTAACTTTGAAAATTTTGACTTTAAAGTCAAAATAAACTTGTGGGGTGCAATTGAATGGAAGGGGTGTGTTCGGGTCGGGGTAAGAGTGGAGTTTTACCAAATGATAAAAACCGTCAATTCTATGAACGGGGCACCGGAGTCTCCCGGGTCATCCCAAGACATTACCGGATAATGTCAAGGAAACCGTCCTCTTTTGTTTAACATTTTACTCATTATTTTAACCCGTGCGACCCGCTAGAAATTTTTTCGTTGATTCTAAACTTTTTATGTAATATGTTTATGAATAAAGAAAAATATAAAATTTTAGAACTATAGAGATCAACTCCAAAGTAGAATAAATAATATTTAAAAAATTAAATATGTACACAACAAAGTCTTTTTAATTCCAATTTTTATCAAAAAATTTAGGGTACACAACATTTTTTGTATGGTTGCATGAGTTTTCATTGTCATCTAAAATTAATATTTTTAATTATGCCTTTGTCTGCATTCGTAAAACAACAATATAAAATTAACCAGAGTGAATATTGATTTGGATAAAGATAATCCAACAAAGGACAATTTTTGTCCTTCACTTTTGTTAATAGTCATAACAAAACATAAGCCTGTTGGAAACTATTCTCTTTAGAATTTTAGAAGTAGTTCAGGATCACATGATACAAAATTCATTCACGATCCCCGACTCAATTTCTTGAAATAACAATTGTGACCGATAACATTCTTTCACAACACTTCAATTAATAATCCAGTGAAGTTCTAGTGACACCGGAGTACGGTGCCACTGGCATTTTGGGCACCGGAGGTGCCCCTTTCGCAAAATTGACGGTTCCTACCCTCCTAACCCACCCCCTAAACTCCCACCCCAACCCCTTCGTAAGCCCCCACAAAATGGGGGCTTACGAAGGGGTTGGGGTGGGGGTGCAGGGGTGGGGGTAGGGTGGGGGTGCATGGGTGGGGTAGGGTGGGGGTTTAGGGGGTGGGTTAGGGGTAGAAACCGTCAATTTTGCAAACGTAGCACCGGAGGTGCCCTAAAATGTCAGTGGCACCATAATCCGGTGTCACTAGAACCCCACCTTAATAATCTTATACTATTACAAAATTTAGATGTTTGATCAGTGTTCTTCAATAACACAATCGATTCTCCATTTCCAAAACTATTTTGTGGTTTTGGATCTCCAAACATTTGATTTCATTCAAAAATTCAAGTGTTATTTAATGCCATCAACACCTACATTTCTATCTACTTGATGAATTGGCATAGAAAATTAAATTTTAAGTACCCCTTTTCATCATCGGGAATGAGGGATAGAAAAAATCATTTAACATTTGAACAACTTCGAGAGTGGTGACAATAGTGCCCTGTCCTAAAAAGGGATAATTTTTCATGTTCTTCAATAAATTCGGATAAGTAAAGTTCACCATACTCTGAAGAGGATAACTTGTGTCGATGATCAAGAATTTGAGATTTTAACATCAACAGTTCCATCAATCACCTTCCCAAGTTTTGTATCTCCGACTTTGATTTTTTAATCAGTAAAAATTTTACAATGTGACCATAATTTTGAAGAATTCAACGTAGCACCTACAATTTCATCTCTTGAAGCTACAGACAAAACTGGAAGGATCTAGTAAAAATCACCTATGAATACAATATTTTCCATCCAAATGGTTCATTTCTAGAGTTTACATCTCTCTATCATGCAATCTTATGTCTGAAAAGCAAATTTATTCATCATACATATTTCATCCAATATGTTTGGACTAGCTTGAACGTGTTCGATGATGCGAGGCTACAAACTTTAATATGTTTGTACTAGCTTGGACTACATGTAATATCCATCATAAAATATTCACTACAAACTTTAATTTGCATGCAATACAATTTTTTGATAACGTACTACCATATTTTTCATGAAATGAGACACCAAATATTTTTCATTCATCTTTCCTTTCTTCTTGGCAATTCACTAAAAAAAATTGAATTACTAGTACTTTTCTAGAGCGGAAAAGTAAGTTGTATTTTTGATAATTTATTACAATTTTTTCCCACCAAAATAATACAACTAAAAGTGTGAGAATGACACTCGAATAGCTATTTTTAAACGACACAACAATTTTATCCGATAAGTCATTACAATTTGTTAAAGTTATTTTATTATTAATTAAATTAATGGAATTATATCATATTTTATCATATTAAATAAATATTTTTACTTCATATTATGTTAAAGCTAACTATAGATAATTAAAACGTCAATTAAAATATTCAAATTTAATGGCTATGCATTCTAGTTGCCACTCATAAAATGTAAGTTAATGATTTGGTTAAAATACCATCTTAAAATATGTAAACTTACCTTTCACATTAAAACTTAATGGTGGCAGCGGTAAATTAGAGTCAAATTTGCAAGAAGGTTAATCATGGTGCCTTAAAGTGCTAGAATCGGTTTAATGAATATTTTTCTGGCCCATCCCACACAAGAGATGCTCAAGCTTGGTACACCGCTTATCCTACATAATCCAATTAGTGGTACTGTCGGCTCGATCGTCCTTCTCTTCAAATTACAAAGTTTTTTTCAAATTTAGGTAGGTGTCTGTTTAGAGTGCGATAGTTTTCATTATGATTACTACTCTATGTATGAGTCTCATAAATTACCCTTTCCTTTCCTACATCAAATACGGTCACTACAACACCCTTTCAATGAATTCAATGTTCAGGGTCCTACATCTGCTCCTTTTCTTGGTGGCTATTAGTTTTACATTAACTTTGTGGATGATTTAACTAAATGTTGTTGGTTGTATCCCTTTAAACATAGATCTGAGGCCTTCACTATTTTTCAAAGTTGTCATGCTATGGTCAAAATTTCAGTTTGGCACGTGTATTAAAAATTTTAGAACTGAAAATCGCCGTGAATATGGAAGTGAAGTTTCAGAAGTGAAATATCATTAATTTTATTGTTTACATCCTCATTAGATTTTGCAAGTTAAAAACAGATATAATCCAAAAGAAAAAAATCCTTTTTTTACAATCGGGAATTGTTTACCACTTTTTGCTTTTTAAACTTTTTTTTGAGTTTTTTAAATTTTTTATTTAAAGAAAAAAATATATTTAACTCTAAATGATTTGTTAAATCCAGTTTTGATCAAAATTATATGTTTCAAAATCTAAATTTTGAATATAAATTTAGATCAAATTTATCTAATTCACAACAAAGCTTAATTACAAATTTCTACACCCTCTTTGTAATTTAAAATGCAAAATAAAAAATTTAAATCTAATAACTTTAATCAATTTCTAAGTTAAAAAATTGGGTAGAAGGTGCAAAGATAAGTACATTAAACTTACGTGGTTGCATACTTGCATTATGATATTTTTTTTATAATTAGGTTTCAACGCTAATATATTACACCATCATTCATTTTCAATAACACTACAAACACATATTCTTACACCACACTGTCATAATATTCCTATTTTAGTCTTAAAATATCAAATTTTTTATTTTGATATTTTCATACTTTATACGAAGAGATTTTTTTTTATTATTTGATACTCTTCATTTTGAAGGTGTAAAATGTCCTTTTTTTGAGGTTTTGAAAAGGATAAAGCTATTTGTACCCAAAACTTTTGTACCCTATTTTGTACACCGTAGGTTTGTATCGATATTTTGTGTTGATGTAAAACTAATTTTTGTTAACGTAGCAATACTTTTTATCCGTATAAACTTTTGTTAACACACCAACACTTGTGTCGGTGTAAACTATGAAAATGTTGATAGACCATTTTAGCTTAGATGGTCCTTTTGAAAACTATGCGCTTCTTATAATATACACAGCGGCAAAATAACGCTTAATACCGGCCAGTTCTGAGCTCTCCCAGAACTCTCTCTGGCGCCGAGGTATTTCACGCCGGCCGAGATACAAGGCAAAAGTTCGAACTCGAAACCTCCCGGAAAGTAGTACACTGTTACTGGAGATAAGACTTTTTTGAGGTGCAGGGCTTCTCCCGGTTTGCTTTTGCAGTTTTGAGATGGCGCCATCCACCTCCCAATCAAATGCCAAAGCATCATCAGTTGAACTGGACGAAGAAATTCAAGGAGATTCAATCGTCTCCAGCGACTATCGTTTTTCCAGAATCGGACTCACAATTCCTGTCAAATCCGATGGCAGTTCGCCATTTGACACTGAAAACGAAGTTCCTCCGTTACAGCCTCTAGCCGTCTCAGAACGCTTTCGCCTTACCTTTGTAGCCCACTCCGATGGTGGGTATTCATGTATGTCTCTTCATAGGTATGTCTTTTTGTAGATTCACTAACTGTATTGTTGCATTTTGGTTTAGGGTTTTATGTAGCGAGGACAAGTGAAGTTTTGGCGTCCGCCAAAGAGCTTAAAGAGAAGAATAGTAGACTCTCTGTCCAGGAAATTTGTATTGTGGATATTTCTATTGGAAGAGTTTCCATTTTGGCCTTGTCTGGGGATGAGTCCTTGCTTGCTGCTACTGTGGGTAGTAAAATCTACTTCTTCCCCGTCAGCACCATACTCCATAAGGTATGTCTAAGTTGTGTTTTTATTTTTTTTTCTGTTTGTATTTTGTTGTAATTTTTGTGCAATGACCTGATTAAGTATTGTGTCTATTTGACAAGTGAACTCTGAATGTTCACTTTTATATTCTTTTGCATTACAACAACATTGTATAATGTCAACTTGTTGGAGTCTAAGGGTCAAGATGGAGAGGCTGTTTCCGGTTGACCCTAGATGCATTGCTGCATATACTGCCCAAAACTTCAGAGACAGTAAGATGCTGTTTCCGGTTGACCCTGAATGAATTTTTAAACTCTCATTTTGATTTAATCCATTATGTGCTCAAAATTAAACCATTGTTGATAATGACTCTTTGAATTTCAGAGAAAGTAAAAATAAGAAAAGTTTAACATTCCATCTTGGTTTAATCCTTTTTGTGCTCAAAACTAAAACATTGTCAGTAATGACTCTTTTTGCTCTGTTGGAAATGAATGATAAGACCTGCATTTTTGTATTATAGGAGCAAGACCCATCCTTCTCATTTTCAATAGATGGCTCAAGTTTCATCAAGGACATGCAATGGGCTAAACAAGAAGAGAAGATTTATCTTGTTCTTTCAAGTGAAGGGAAATTGTTTTGTGGACGAGGTCAAAATCATGCTAATTGTGTAATGGACAATGTTGATGCTGGTATGTTCACATATTCCTATGCACTCTACAGGCACCCTAAATAATAATGCAGTGCTTGCACAAAGGAAAAACCAATGATTAGAATGAGGTGTATGAAGGACGTAATGCCGTTCTTATAGTTCGTCCTCATTTCTGATTGGTGCAGGTCAGAGTAGAATGAGAAGTTAATCTGAAACTCCAAACTGTCCTCTTGATGTAAAATAGTTTGAAAAGAAATTCACAAAAAATCTTATTATTCATTTAAACTTCCAGAGGAGATTAAATACTCCCAAACACAAAAAACAACAACAACAACCCAGTTAAATCCCACAAGAGTAGGGTCTGGGGAGGGTGTGTGTACGCAGACCTTGCCCCTACTCGAAAGTAGAGAGGCTGTTTCCAAAGAGACCCCCGGCTCAACGTCGAAAGTTGCATTGCTTGACTAACTGCTACTTCATAAATTAAAGAAGCGCAGACAGTTTAGAGATCCATTTTGATTTATTCCATCACACCCCAAAACCAAAAAATGGTGAAATTTTGGCTCCATCGGAGATATGGAAATTTTATGTAGCTTCATAAGCTAGTAGTGCTTAGAGAAAAACATACATGAATGAAAAGGCAAGAAGCTAAGATTAATTTGTTCAAAATTTTATTTTAAATGATTGCACTTTCATAACGTTGAAAAGTGATTGGGACCTTGTGTCATGAAAAACAAATAACTTTCTACTATCATCCATTTTACACATGCAAATTGGTACTATCATGTGTGCATGCCTCCGTGAACTTGCATGTAATTTGTTGACACGTGCCTTGGCTTCCAGTGCTTGTAACTCTATTGATTTTTGACAGTTGGATGGAATAGAAATGGTGATCGTATTGCTGTTGTGAAGGACAATACCATCAGTATCATGTCCTCACAGTTTGAGGAAATGCTAAGCTTGGTGCCATCATTCAGCTCATTTCTTAATGATTGTCATGGTGAATCTGTAGTTAAAGGTATTCCAAATTCATAGCTATTATGTTTATTATTTTATTGGTTGACTTGGTTCTAGAATAGAATATAAGACCACCTACATTTTATTGGATTCCTTTAGCAAAATAGGTAGAGAGGAGGGGCAAAGTTACAACAATTTTTTTTAGACAAACTCTTTCAGCGCTTATATTTTTTCACTTGGATCGTTTTAATTTCCAATGGAGCTAAAAGAGTCATTATTGACAATGTTTTAAATTCGGACGCATAATGGACTATTTCCAAATGAGTCATTAATCTTTGATTGCTTCTTTTGTGAAGGTTTTGGAAGTAATGAATCTAGGTTCTAACAAAAACAATCTCTATTTTTATAGGAGTAAGAGTGCATACATCTTGACTACCCCAACGGAATTGGGATTATATTGGGTTGTTTAATTAATCTCTAATTATAATTCAAAGGAGCTTAAATGTTAAACTATGCTGTTTGAAATCAGTGGACACTGTCAGGTGGGTTCGTCCAGATAGTATTGTGCTAGGATGCATTTGCATGAATGATGATGAGGATACATATGCTTTGCAAGTCATCACAAGCAAGAATGGTAAAATTGATGATGTGAGTAAAGATTTTTGTCTCATACCTAATTTGAAGAGAATGTTGTTTGGAACTTATTTTTGCTTCACAAGCTATGATAATTTTTTATCCAATAATTTGAATTATAAAGGTTTTAATTTTTCTGGATGTATATGCATGTGCTTCTTAAGAGCTGTCAACTGCTTCTTGAATTTCAAACTCAAAATGATTAAGATGGACCCAAGTTAATTTGATAGAACTTTTTTGCTATATTGTTTCTTTTATGACTATATAACGTTTGTGCTGAGCACTTGAGCCACGATAACCAATACAACGGTGATGAATATACGGGTTCTCGGATAGACTATCACTCAGTCCTGTAAGAGAGGCCAGTAATCCTGGGTGATATTGTAACAGTGAGTAGATATTGACTAGTAAGGAATGCAATGAAGGGCTTACTAAATAATGAATATCGTTCAAACAATCTCAACTGTCCCAATCAACCTAATCCTATGCTCTTTGTCTTCCTGATCGTTTTGTGCTATGCACTCTGATTGGCGATAGAAATTAGAAAGTTTTTCACTTGAGGAAATTCTAAACGCTAGGTTACAGCCCTTCGATTTTTACGGCGCGACTCTTCCGAAAGACTATTCCCCGTATAGAGAAATCTTCTCCCACACAAATACACACAAAAACACTTACCAGTCCTAGACTCGGGCACTCGGCATTGACTTTTTATTCTGCCAGTGGGCAATGGCTTTTTTGCCCATGATGCATCAGCCAAGTTTTTTAAATTATTACCCTTCTTATAATAGTGTTTATATCTTAAAAAAAGAGTACACACACACACACATATCTATATACACACATACATACACATATATATGTGTGTGTGTGTGTTTATATATGTGTGTGTGTTTATATATACATACATACATATATATATAATTATATATATGTGTGTGTGTGTTTATATATACACACACACACACACACACACACACACACACATACATATATATATGTGTGTGTGTTTATATTTATACACATAGTTGTGAATGGCGCTCGCCATTCTCGCCTAAGGCGCCTATGGCTGTGTGGCGACCATGTGACGCCATCTTTAGACCTGGCGAGGCGTTTTACGCCATTCTCGCCAATGGCGGTCGCCATGGACGCCAGAGTCTGAGTCGAAGGGCGTTCGCCATCTACGCCAGACGTAGGTCAAAAGTTTTTTAATTAAAAACCTTGACTTTTTTTAAAAATGCGCTGACCTATATCTCGATTGAAACACTTCATCGATTCAACTGCCTTTGCCTCTGCCCTCTCGCCGTCGATCGAATTACTCCCCAGCTGACGCAGCCTCCTGCCCTCCTCAAGTTCTCCTCAGCCGGTGCAACCCCTCCTCTCTCTCCCGATTCCGAACAGCGCACATCTTCGCAGACTCAGAGCCGGCCCAAGTAAAGTCCACTTTGCAGGTCACACTTAGGGGGTGTTTGTTTGTCTGCCAGAAGACCTTCTGGCGTCTTTTGTCTGCGCCGCGCAGACGCGCGCAGATGATGGACTCTGCAGATTGTTTGTTTTTTGGAAGACATTTCACTCAAAAAGGTCTTCCTGGCATCTTCTTGGAGAAGACATTAACCAATGTCTTCTAACATCTTCTAACATCTTCTCCTTTTTTTTCTACTTCTCTTCACCACCACAACCGTCCA